GTGGATGCCACAGCATGCTAAGCAGGGACACTGCTCAGCTGTACACCGTTGTTGTGAGCATTACAAACACCTCGCACTTTATCCTGCAGTATTTACACAGCTGATACAGGCACCGCCACAAGGAGCAATGTGATGCCATGCAAGCGCCCTGCTGGAAGACCTAGAGCGGAGCAATTCCGTTGCTGGCGACAGTCATGCATCACCTTGACACAGTTGTGCGCCGTTTCTGGGCCTGGGATACAAGCTCTGACTGGTAGGATCGCATTGTTATGCAGCTATGGGATGATGAGCAGTGGTTGCAGAACTTTCAAATGTGTAAGGCCACTTTCCAGGAACTGTGTGAAGAGCTTTCCCCAGCCCTGAAGTGCAGCAATACTAAAATGAGAGCTGCTCTGACCATTGAGATGCGAGTGGGGATTGCTCTGTGGAAGCTTGCAGCGCTAGACTGCTACCGGTCAATGGGGCATCAATTTGGAGTGGGTAAATCTACTGTGGGATCTGTTGTGATCAAAGTTTGCAGGGCCATCAACAGACTTCTGCTAAGAAGGGTAGTGACGCTGAGCAAGGTGCAGGACATAGTCAATGGTTTTACCATGATGGGGTTCCCAACTGCAGTGGGGCAATAGGCAGAACGCATATCCCTATCTTGGCACCAGACCACCTTGCCAAAGAGTACATAAACCAAAAGGCGTACTTCTTAATGGTGTTGCCAGCGCTGGTGGATCATAGGGGCCGTTTCACCGACATCACTGTGGGATGGTCGGGGAAAGGTGCGTGACATGTGCATCGTTAGGAACACAGGTCTGTTCAGAAAGCTGCAAGCAGGCACTTTCTTTCAAGACTGCAAAATAACCATTGGTGATGTTGAAATGCCAGTCGTGATCCTGGGAGATCCAGCCTACCCCTTGTTCCCATGGCTCATGAACCCATACACAGGCAGCCTGGACAACAGTAAGAACTGGTTCAACCATAGGCTGAGCAAGTGCAGAATGGTGATGGAATGTGCCTTTAGACCTCTAAAAAGGTTGCTGGCATTGTTTGCTTACTACGGTAGACCTCAGTGAAAGTAATATCCCCGTTGTTATTGCTGCCTTCTGTGTGCTCCATAATATCTGTGAAACAAAGGGAGAAAAGTTTCTGCTGGGGTGGGGGGTTAAGGCAGATCGCCTGGCAGGCAATTTTGAGCAGCCAGACACCAGGGCAATAAGAACAGCATATCGAGGAGCTCTGCATCTCCATGAGACTTTGAAAACCAGTTTCAGCAATGAGCCAGAGTAATGTGACATTTATCTGTGTTCCTTACCAAACTGTCCCCTCCATTGCATTTTCTCCCCTGTAAACACCACCCTACCAACCACTGGCTGTTGAATGAAAAAATAGCCTTTTCTCCTCAATCCATTAAGTTTTATTATACACACAGAGACAGCAAAGAAAAGTAAGACAACCTGGGGCAAAAGCGCTGATAATACTGTGGTGGGAGAAACAAGAACAGCTGGCTTACAGATGCACTGCAATAACTATCAAAGGTCTGGGAATGGGCACCTTCTGGTCCTTGTACCCTCCCCTAGTGTTAAGTGCAAGGGATACCGAATTCCCCCTCCCCCACCTCATAGGACATTTCGAGGAGGTGGATGTAGAACTGGGCGATGATAGCAGCAGGTTCAGCATAGGCTGCAGCATCCAGCTGCCTTTCTTGAACCTCAGCCAGAGGCCTCAACATGTCTGATTGCTCCTTCATAGCATCTCTTCCTGCATGGCACACTCTTGTTCCCTGTTCTCCTGTCTTCCCTGTCCATGTCCAGGTTCTCAGACAGTGTAATCCTCCATGCTCTGAGCTCTGTCTTGTCACTCTGGAGGCATGCATTAACTCATTGAACATGTCCTCCCGAGTCTTCTTTTTTGCGCCTTCTAATCTGGGAACGTCTCTGTCCCAGTGTGCGTCAACAGACAGGTTTTTGGCTGCAAGGAATGCAGAGCACCAGGATAGCATTGACAGTGCATAGATTGTTTCTGGTGCAAGGTTAATTTTTTTCTTAAAAAAACCACCCCTCAATACACTTCACTGCAAGCCAAAATGTAATCACAACCACCGGCTACTGCAAGAGTCAGTTTGCTGCTCCAGCCATGGTGAGTAAGGCCACGAGGCATGGGCAAGAGGTCTTGTGCTGCTGCTTTTGTGAAGACATCCTTGGGATCCCTTTCCCCTAGCAACCTGAGGAGAGGCACCAGTGTAAAGCCCCCTAAATAGTTTGTTTTTCACAAAAGCAGCACCGGGTTGGGGGGGGCAAGGGAGACAAACAGGAAGCTCCCCCCCCTTTTTTTCAATGCTGCTTGCAATACACTGTGATCTCTTCCAACCACAACCATGGCACGTTTGGGAAAGCATCGTTGTGTGACCCAAATTTCACCAACGGGGTGGATTACTTGTTGAATTGTTTGCGATTTAAGGGCTAGCATTGAAAACTTCCCCCGTTTCCCCTTGGTGACCCTATGCAATTTCACTCTCCTGAGAGTAACAGAGCAAATGCTGCAAGCATCTGGGTAGAGACCTGGTCCTTATGCTACAATGCTGTGTGCTGCAATGATGCCAGCAGAGGTAATACTGGAGTGGCATGGGAAAGTGCCCTACCATGGTGGACGAAATAAGGCAGCCCTTCCCAGAAGCATCCTGCAAAGGATTGCAGAGTACCTTCATGAAAGCTTCCTAGAGATCTCCATGGAGGATTCCCGGGCCGTCCCCGTGCACATAAAGAGTCTTTTTTCGGAGAGCGCCCTCTGCACGGCTGGAGTGGCCACTGATACCCACTACACCTACTTTTTTGTTGAGATTAAACATACAGAATAGTAGCATGTAACCCCTACAGTTTGATTAGCAATGTGCACTCATCAGGCGTGTCTTCCCCAGCATCACGCTCTGCTGCCAACAAGTCCTGTGAAGGGATGGGCTCCAGGATTAAAAACAGTTCTTGGCTGTCAGGGAGAGTGGATCCTCCACTTGCCTGCCTCACATTCTCCTCCTCCTCTTTCTTGTCAGCAATGTCCTCCTCGAGGTTACCCAGGGCTCCTGGGAGGTATCCACAGAGCGTTTTGGGGTAGTGATGGGGTTGCCCCCGAGAATCGCATGCAACTCCTCATAAAAGCGATGTGTCTGTGGGGCAGAACCAGAGTGACTGTTTGCCTCCCTTGTCTTCTGGTACGCTTGCCGAAGCTCCTTTATTTTCACACGGCACTGCTGCGTGTCCCTAGTGTAGCCCTTCTCCCCCATGCCCTGCACAATCTTGACAGAGCTGTCAGCGTTTCTTCTGCTGGATCAGAGCGGTGTCTGCACAGACTCTTCTCCCCAAACAGCAATAAGATCCGCCACCTCCTGTGTACTCCATGTGATTATTCCCCTCTATTAGGCACTGGTGAGGCCACATCTGGAGTACTGTGTCCAGTTTTGGGCCTCCCACTACAGAAAGGATGTGGACAAATTGGACAGAGTCCAACAGAGGGTAACAAAAATGAATAGGGTGCTGGGGCACATGACTTATGAGGAGAGGCTGAGGGAACTGGGCTTATTTAGTTGGGGATTGGTCCTGCTTTGAGCAGGGGGTTGGACTAGATGACCTCCTGAGGTCCCTTCCAACCCTGATATTCTATGATTCTGTGATTTAGTCTGCAGAAAAGAAGCGTGAAGGAGGATTTGATAGCAGTCTTCCACTGCCTGAAGGGGGGTTCCAAAGAGGATGAACCTCGGCTGTTCTCAGTGGTGACAGATGACAGAAAAGGAGCAATGGTCTCAAATTGCAGTGGGGGAGGTCTAGGTTGGATATTAGGAAAACCTATTTCAGTAGGAGCGTGGTGAAGCACTGGAATGGGTTACCTAGGGTGGTGGTGGAATCTCCATCCTTAGAGGTTTTTAAGGCCCGGCTTGACAAAGCCCTGGCTGGGATGATTTAGTTGGGGATTGGTTCTGCTTTGAGAAGGGGATTGGACTAGATGACCTCCTGAGGTCTCTTCCAACCCTAATTTTCGATGATTCTAGATTAGGTATTCCTGAATAACTCCATGTATAGACATTCTTAATCCGGAATAAGAGCACCTTGTTCCTGTTACACTTAATCTGCTTTCAAAGTGGATTAAACTAAAGAGGAACAAGGTGCTCTTAATAAGAGTATTTACACATGGGAATAAGAATATTCACACATGGGATTTTCCATTATAGTTATTGCATTTTGCATTTACACCCCACCTCAATCGAAATTAATTTTCAAGTGTAGACAAGTCGTAAAAGACAAGCCTGCTACGTTTTATTGCTCTAACCCTTGGCCTTCCTTGCACTTTCTTAGTTGCTATTAATTGCTGTGCAATAGCCGCTTGGAAACTGCTCTTGGTGGGCACCTACATGAAGCCTCGTTGACTTCAGAGTGGCCTGTAGAGCATTTGGCAGGACTGGGGCTTTCATTTGAATGCTCTTTGGGCACATGTAAAGCATCCTGTGCAGTAGGAATAACAAAAAAATGTGATTCTGTCAAACACCAAAGGAACCACGTGTGTCTGAGGTGATGTGCAATTTGTAAAACCCTCAGTGCTGTTGCCTGTTGCTTGTGGTTCTGTTTATTCTTTAGAAGTTTGCAGATTTCTTTGCATCTTTGTTCCATTGTTTCATTATGTCGAGGATGGCATAACTGCTTCATGTTTACTTATTCTCACCTAACAATTAGAGATACAGGTTCATTGCACTGGATGGCAGTTGCCAGAATCTGGCTGCTTTCATTTTTTTGAAAATGGGTACCATATTTGCTTTCATCCAAGCTGTCACTACCTCTTTGTCTTTCCAAATATTATTGTCTATAATTCAGCAAATTCAACAGCTACTTCTCTTGCAGTCAGATGCATGTCATCTAGACTTGCTGCTTTGGATGCGCACAAATTTCACTCACTTGCTTATCAATTCACAAGCATTTAATTGTTTTTTACCTGCCCTGTCTGACAGGCCTTTTGCTTGGTTTTTGCAGATAAACTGCGTGACTTTTCCACACCCAGACACAATGCAAGAACAGCAGTTGCTGAAACCCACTGAATGGAGCTACTGTGATTATTTCTGGGTAAGTAGGCAGCCAGCCACGTGCCACACGCTGCAGCGTCTGAGTTTCAGGAAGAGCGGAACAAATTGCTAGGTTTGTGTTAGAGAGCAAATCAGGATTCAGTGTGGCAAGGCGCTGAAAAAGACACACTGCAGCAAGGGGCAGCACCAACTCTGCTGCGTTACTTCTGCAGGGCCTTTAATAAAGCACACAGCACAGCATGGTGCTCGAGGTGCTCTCCAGAACAAAGAGAAAACAAGGGAAAGGCTCAAGGGAGGGACCACAGCTCCTGCTGGGAGAGTGGAGTGTTTGTTAGCCTCAGCCCCAACAACCAGAGCAGGGTGCACTGAGGAGAGAGGGAGCAGCTAAGTGCTGATGTAACTCCGACAGACTCTGGTCATCAGCAGGCGGGATTGAACCTGGGACCTCTGGAGCTTAGTGCATGAGACTCTACCTCATGAGCTAAAAGCTGTATGGCTGTTGGCTAAGGCTGTAGAGCAGACTCATTAATCACTCTCTAAGTGGCCGCAGTGCCACTAGATGGGACAGAGCACCGCACCCAGGAGGTGTCTGGGTTACAGAGACAGTCTGAGAGGGCAGGAAAAGCTCCAGCTGGATGGGCAGGTAGGGTGGGCAGAGAAAAGTCCAAACTCCGGTGAGAGGAGTCAGAGGAGTCTCAGTCAATCAGAAAACTGGATGCACGGCAGCAACAGCAAGGAGCCCCAGAAAGGAGGGAGCAAGACACACACTGCAGGCAGAGAAAATAGCTACTTTAATGGTAAAGAAACAGCAGGAAACCCCTAAAAGAATGCTTCTGTAGACGCACAGTAATTCTTGTGGCGGGAGATGGGTCAGCATCTCCTGTAACCCTTCTAGTGAACTGAAACTTTGCTGATACATCAGCCTGGCCAAAGGGGATAAGCCATTTTGAGTAGTTTCATGTTGTATCAGGACTTGCTAATAATTATGATGAGCACCAGGATAGGGACTGATCCTGCAGCTGTTTCCATGCTGGCAGACTGCACCTTTGCCAAACCAGTTGCAGAACTGGGGCCATCATCTCCTCGTCTGTACTATGGGAGATGAGGCGGATCACACACTGCTGATGTCAAGCCCAAGGCCAGAAAAGAAGAATGTGTGGAAAATACTGAAGACACTGACATCTGTTGCACAGGGGATGCTGAGCAGCCCCCCCCCCCCCCCCCCGCCCCCGAACATTACCTGGGAATCATCTGGATGTAAATCTTAGTGTACTGCAGACCTGTAGAGAACAAAGCCAGAGTCACTCCAGCTGAAGACTTGGGGACAAGAACCAAAGAATGGAAAACATGTCTAGCTTGCCATACCCTCCCTGTCTCTGTCTTCCCCCATCCCCAACAATCTTGGGAAATGGTGCCAGCCTGAGGATATGAATGCCAGAATGCAGGAGATGTACAGCTGGTCAGATAGCTTCTGTCAGAAAATGCTGGCTTAACCAAATCCAAATGTTTTCCGGTTGCGAATCAATTTCATCCTAATTTTCAGTTGGAAATTATCAAAATGTTTGATTTGATTTTATCGTTTTACTTTTATGATGGAACAGAATAGCTGAAATGATAAATGATATGTTTCAGAATATTTCATTTAATGAAAAATTCAGAGACTTCGACTTTGGGTCCCCACTTGGGGCAAAACTAAATTTCAAAGATCTCAGCATTTCCTGTGGGATGGAAATTCCATTATTTGACGTGCTCCGACAAAGAGTGTCCTTATTCACCATTATTCAGAGCTTCAAAGTGGCATATGGCATAACAGAGCTCGAGGTGATGCCCACCTGAGAGCAGCCATTGCCTGAGGACACCCATGCTCAGAACCATGTACAGAACCACAGAAAGAGATTGCCCAGCAGATTTAGTAACAGGGCTGCCAATGGCTGACAGTGGTGTAGCTCAAATGGCAAGGAGCCAGAGAAAGATACCCCCAACATGACGAATGACAGAGAGGTCTCTCCTGGTCAGTGAGAGAAGCTATCACTGGTGTCCAAATAACAGACACTGAAAGCTCTAAATAACTGAGAACTTCTTCACTTACCTTCCAGATTTGTTTCCCGGAAGTGCTAGATGCAAGTCATGTAGCTTATAGGTTAGTGTCTGACATTTGTGCACTTTACTGCACATTGCTATCACAGCAAGGCAATTTCAGCAACACACATTCAGAGCACCCTAGACACATGCCCTGCTTGAGAGGAACCTCTTCCCAAGTATTATGCGCCTGACTGCGAAGGGAGTATAAGTATGGAAAGGGTCTGACATGGCAATACATTCTTTTATGAGCCTATGAATAAGACACAAAATGTGGTTCCTTGCTCTTCTCTTGGTGATCTCATCCACAAACACCGCTTTGATGATCATCTTTACCTATCTATGGTATTTATCTGGCCTACATCACCACAGTATTTGAGTGCCTCACAATTTTTAATGTATTGATTCTCACATACTCCTGTTAGGTAGGGCAGTGCTGTTATCCCCATTATATATAGAGAGACTGAGGCCCAGAGACATTGAGGCCTGGTTTACACCTAAAATTTAGGTCAACCTAGATACATCCCTCAGGTGTGTGAAAAGTTCACACCCTGAGAAACGTAGTTTAACTTTGACATTGCTAGGTCAACACAAGAATTCTTCCATCGACCTAGCTACTGCCTTTCAATGGTATGGATTTACTACAGCGATGGAAAAACCCTTTCTGTCGCTGTAGCAAGTGTCTACATTATAAGAAAAGGAGTACTTGTGGCACCTTAGAGACTAACCAATTTATTTGAGCATGAGCTTTCGTGAGCTACAGCTCACTTCATCAGATGTTCATCATCACGAAAGCTCATGCTCAAATAAATTGGTTAGTCTCTAAGGTGCCACAAGTACTCCTTTTCTTTTTGCGAATACAGACTAACACGGCTGTTCCTCTGAAACCTGTCTACATTATGGCGTACAGTGGCATAGCTGCAGTGCCATAGCTGTGCCACTGTAGCATCTGTAGTGTAGAAATACCCTAAGGTTGGACATTTTAAAGGGGCCTAAGGGAGGTAGGTCCAGATTTCTAAAGCTTTCTCCAAAGATGTTTACATCGATAGGAGTTAGGCACCTGGTGCTTTTGACAATTCCACAAGGTACCACTTCACATCTTTAGACACCTGAACACCTTTAAGAATATGGCCGTAGGGGTCTTGGCTAAAGTCATGCGCGGAGTCTGTGGCAGAGCAGATGGGAACTCACATCCCCAGCATCCAAGGCTAGCATTCAGCCCACATCCTCTCTTCATGCTGACGACTCACAGAGCTACTTCTCTGCTCTGGACCTAGCCAAAATGGAACTCCTGATTATCCCCCCGACAACACACACACAAGTCCTTCTGTCTTCCCCTTTTCTCTGTCATGATGGACAGCACCACTACCTTCTCTGTCATTCAAACTAGCAACCTTGCCTCTATCTTTGCTTCAGCCCTCTCTGTCGACCTACACGTCAGCCACGTCACTTGCCACTTCTTCCTGCACAGCTTCTCCAGGATCCGGCCTGTCGTCATGGCCAAAACTCTCATCCAAGTCCTGCTCATCTTGCTTTTTGATTACTGCAGTCTTTACTATATATGTGAATACAGCATGCAGCACAGTGAGGCAAAAAGCATAGCAATTCTGAAAATATCCCCTATGCCTATGTGTCAGAGAGATGGGGGGAGGGTTATCACACTGGGTACATTCTATCAGGCACTGATGGATTAGATGGTGAGCAGAGGGGAGGAAGTCATTTAATGGTCTTCCGAGATGCATTTCAAAGTGTTTTTAATGTTCTGATCAGATGCTTAGATCCCAGGAGGAGGCTCCTGCGAAGAAAAGCAGCTGTTCCCACCCCTGGAATGCCCTCTTTTGGCAGCATTGCTGTAGTTAGGATTCTAGGAGCCTTGGCATGGCTTGTGTTCACGTCCTAGCTGCCATTTCTCTTCCAGGCTGATAAGAAGGATCCACAAGGGAACAACACAGTATCAGGGTTTGAAATTCTGCTCCAAAAGCAACTCAAGGGGAAACAAATGCAAAAAGAAATGGCAGAGTTTGTTCGAGAAAGGTAATTGGAAGCTTTCTGTTGAGTTTAATATTTCTTGTAATCACTTTATTTGCATGAATTGAACACATAGTCTGAACTCTGGAAGTTGTGCATATTTTATGAAACACATACAGATATTTAATTTCATCACTATCCATCCAAACTCTCCAGTCTTCACCAAAAAATGTTCTCCTTCAGTGCACCTATTAGCTTTAGACTTCCCATGTCTCTTTAAGGTTTGTGAGTCACTTAACTTGGTGGAATGAGGATAATCAATGGGATGCAATAATACCAGGGTACGGAACATATAAGAATGGCAGAATGGGTTGTACTGGTGGGGGAGTGGCACTATATGTGAAAGAAAGCATAGAGTCAAATAAAGTGAAAATCTTGAATGAATCAAACTGTATCATAGAATCTCTGTGGATAGAAATTCCATGCTTGAAATATAAGATTATTAGGTGCTAAAGGAGCATTCAAGGAAGATAAGGCCATTGCAAGAAGCTAAATTAATTCTTTGCAGCAGTCTTCACTTTAGAGGATGTGGGGGAGATTCCCACACCTGGGCCATTCTTTTTAGGTGACAAATCTGAGACACTGTCCCAGATTGAGGTGTCAATCAAGTGGATTTTGGAACAAATTGATAAATTAAACAGTAATGGGTCATCAGTACCAGATAGTATTCATCGAAGAGTTGTGAAGGAACTCAAATGTGAAGTTGCAGAACTACTAACTGTGATATATAAACTATTGCTTAAATCAGCCTCTATACCATATGTCTGGAGGATAGTTAATGGTAATGTCAATTTTTAAAAAGGTCGTCAGAGGCGATCCTGGCAATTATAGGTCAGTAAGCCTAACTTCTGTACCAGGCAAATTGGTTGAAACAGAACTATCAGACACACAGATAAACAGGATATGTTGGTGAAGAATAAACATGGTTATTGCAAAGGGAAATCATGCTTCACCAATCTATTCAAATTCTTTGAGGGGGTCAACAAGTACATGGACAATGGTGCTCCAGTTGATATAGTGTACTTGGACTTTTAGAAAACCTTTGACAAAGGCTCTTAAACAAAGGCTCTTAAGCAAAGTAAGTAGTCATGGGATAAGAGGGAAGGTCCTCTCATGGATCAGTAACTGGTTAAAAGATAGGAATCAACAGGTAGAAATAAATGGTCAGTTTTCACAATGGAGAGAGGTAAATAGCAGGGTCCACTAAGGACCTGTAATGGGATGAATGCTTTTGAACATAATCATAAATGATCTGGAAAAGGGGGTGAACAGCGAGGTGGCAAAATTTACAGACAATACAAAATTACTCAAGAAATTTAAGTCCAAGCTGAATGTGAAGAGATACAAAGTGCTCTTATTAAACTGGGTGGCTGGGCCACAAAATGGCAGATGAAATTAAATGCTGGTGAGTGCAAAGTAATGCACACTGGGAAAAAATATGTTACCACTCAAGAAAGAATTGGAGTCATTGTGGATAGTTCTCTGAAAACATCCACTTAATGTGCAACTGCAGTCAAAAAAAGCGAACAGAATGTTAGGAACCATTTGAAAAGTGATAGATGATAAAACAGAAGATTTTATAATGCTCCCATGCTCTGGGTATCCCTAAACCTCTGACTGACAGAAGCTGGGACTGGACAACAGGGAATGGGATCACACAGTAATTGCCCTGTTCTGTTCATTTCCTCTGAAGCATCTGGCATTGGCCACTGTCAGAAGACAGGCTACTGGACTAGATGGACCATTGGTCTGACCCAGTATGGTGATTCATATGTTCTTCTAATACCACTATGTAAATCCATAGTACTGCACACCTTGAATACGGCACATAGTTCTGGTTGCCCTACCTCAAAAAAGATATATTAGAATTGGAAAAAGTATGGCGAAAGGCAACAAAAATTATTAGGGGTATGGAAAAACTTCCATACGAGGAGAGATTAAAAAGACTGGGACTATTCATTTTAGACTAAGGGGGGGTATGTTAGAGGTCTATAAAATCATGAATGATATGGAGAATATGAATAGAGAAGTGTTATTTAGCCCTTCCCTAATACAAGAACCTTATGAAATTAAGAGGCAACAGGTTTGAAACAAAGTACTTCTTTACACAATACACAGTCAACCTTTGGAACTCTCTGCCAGGGGATGTTTTTAATGCCAAAAGTATAATTGGGTTCAGAAAAGAATTAGATAAGTTCATGGAGCATACCTCCATCAATGGCTATGAGCCAGGATGGTCAGGGATGCAATCCCATGCTCTAGGTGTCCCTAGACCTCCAACTGTGAGAAGATGGGACTGGACAACAGGGGATGGATCACTCAGAATTGCCTCAGAAGCATCTGGCACTGTCCACTGTCAGAACATAGGATACTGGGCTAGCTTAATCATTGGTTTGCCCCAGTATGGCCATTCTTATGGGTCAACAATATCTTTCATCAGTGAGTTCCACAGGTTGATTATAATAGGAGATAAAAAGAAACATTCATGAGTAAGGCCCCACTGGAAAATCTGATGATTTACTTTGCCGTGTAGTGATTCCTTCCATATTTAATATATTTTCACTGCTGTCTGTTTTCTGTAGGATAAAGATTGAGGAAGAATATGCCAAGAACTTGTCCAAACTGTCTCAGAACTCATTGGCTGCTCAAGAAGAAGGGTAAGGAGCCTTTGCACAAAAGGCATTTCCCCTAACTTAGGCACATGCTCTTCTCTTGAGGAGAGCAATGGGTAATTCAGCCTATTATCCTGGCTCTATTGGGGCGGGGGGTAGAACCTTCTGGAGCAGTAGTCCATTGATTGACAGGATCAGTATGTTTTTAAGAGCAATTGTGCAAAATGTAAAAAATTCTAATCATTTGTATTTAATATTATAGCTGTTCTAAACTACAGCAATACTTGGGATTCAGCACATGGCAGCGCTGCATTGCTGGAATCACAGAGGGATCTGTGCATTAAATGAAGTTGCTGATTACTGACCCTCAGGGGGCCCAGTAGCATCAGGAGAGAGGGAGATGCAACAGTATCTTCTAATCCTGAGTTCTTTCCTCCAGTGGAGCAAAAGGAGAGACCCTCTCTCCTTTGCACTGCGTCTGCCCTGGGGAGGAGGTAGGAGGCCCAGGAGTGATATGCCGAAGAAGGCAGGGGAGGGCTCGTGTACACTGCTTTAGTTTTCCTGCACTAGCACATTTCTGTGCCATCAACAGAAATCACCGATGTGGAGGCCCCGTCACTAGACGCGTTCAAGAGAAGACTAGGAGAATCTTTTGGGAGCTAGAATATAGGGGTGCTAGGAGTTGGTTTCACGATTAATGGTCTATATTAAAAATCCTTATACTATAATTCATTTAATAAACAAAAACCATTTAAAAGGGTTTAAAGTAGGGCTGTTGATTAATCGCAGTTAACTCACATAATTAACTCAAAAAAATTAATCGCAATTAAAAAATGAATCGCGATTAATCGCACTGTTAAAAAGTAGAATACCAATTGAAATTTATTAAATTTTTTTGGATGTTTTTCTACATTTTCAAATATATTGATTTCAATTATAACACAGTATACAAAGTAGACAGTTCTCACTTTACGTTGTTATTTTTTATTACAAATATTTGCACTGTAAAAATGGCAAGCAAAAGAAATAGTATTTTTCAATTCACCTCATACAAGTACTGTAGTGCAATCTCTTTATCATGAAAGTGCAACTTACAAATGTAGATTTTTTGTTACATAACTGCACTCAAAAACCAAACAATGTAAAACTTTAGAGCCTAAAAGTCCATTCAGTCCTACTTCTTGTTCAGTCAATCGCTAAGACAAACAAGTTTGTTTACATTTACGAGTGATGATGCTGTCTGCTTCTTATTTACAATGTCACCTGAAAGTGAGAACAGGCATTCACATGGCACTTTTGTAGCTGGCATTGCAAAGTATTTATGTGCCAGACATGCTAAACATTCGTATGGCCCTTCATGCTTCGGCCACCATTCCAGAGGACATGCTTCCATGCTGATGATGGTCATTAAAAAACTAATGCGTTAATTAAATTTGTGACTGAACTCCTTGGTGGGGAGAATTGTGTGTCTCCTACTCTGTTTTACCCGCATTCTGCCATATATTTCATGTTATAGCAGTCTTGGATGATGACCCAGCACATGTTCATTTTAAGAACACTTTCACAGCAGATTTGACAAAAAGCAAAGAATGTACCAATGTGAGATTTCTAAAGATAGTTACAGCACTTGATCCAAGGTTTAAGAATCTGAAGTGCCTTCCAAAACCTGAGAGGTGTGGAGCATGCTTTCAGAAGTCTTAAAAGAGCGAGTCAGATGTGGAAACTACAGAACCCAAACCACCAAAAACGAAAATCAACCTTCTGCTGGTGGCATCTGACTCAGCTGATGAGAATGAACACATGTGCATCTGCACTGCTTTGGATGGTTATCGAGCAAAACTCGTTATCCAGATGGACGCATGTCCCCTGGAATGGTGGTTGAAGCATGAAGGGGCATATGAATCTTTAGCACATCTGGCACATAAATATCTTGCAATGCCGGCTACAACAGCTCCATGAGAACACCTGTTCTCACTTTCAGGTAATATTGTAAACGAGAAGCGGGCAGCGTTATCTCCTGCAAATGTAAACAAACTGGTTTGTCTGAGCGATTGGCTGAACAAGAAGTAGGACTTGTAGGCTCTAAAGTTTTACATGTTTTATTTTTGAATGCAGTTATTGTTTTGTACATAATTCTATATATGTAAGTTCAACTTTCATGATAAAAAGTTTCCACTACAGTACTTGTATTAGGTGAATTGAAAAATACTATTAGAGTACTTTTCTTTTTTTACAGTGCAAATATTTGTAATCAAAAATAAATATAAAGTGAGCACTGTACACTTTGTACTCTGTGTTGTAAGTGAAATCAGTATATTTGAAAATATAGAAAATATCCAAAACTGTTTAAATAAATGGTATTCTATTATTGTTTAACAGTGCAATAAATCGTGCGATTAATCACGATTATTTTTTTTAATTGTGTGACTAATTGTGATTAATTTTTTTAATCGCTTGACAGCCCTTCTTTAAAGTTAGGTAAGCGTGACAGCCCCCCAGGCAAACACTTCAAAGAAAAGAAAGCCAAGTTGTGGGACATCTCTTATCTGTGTCTTAACATCACCCAGCACCTTTCTACTGTCAGTGAGAGATTCCACAGCTTCACAGAGAGCTTCCTTCTACATCCAGTGAAAGAAACACCTTTACACACCACACAGCAATCCCCTTCACTATATAAACATCACACCTTGACTACAAGCTGAGCAGCAGCTGCTCCTATTCAGCACTGCCATCTGTGTGCAGACTCAGTGTGTGGTGTGTGTTTCTGGGGGAAGTCTAAGGTTCTGTGCAGGTGGGGTTGGATTCTGTGGAGAGCATTGATGAGTTCATCTACCTAGGCTGCACACAGAGTTCAAATGGCTGCAGCAAACTGGATGTTCTTTGGTGAATAGGACTTGCCACCTCCAGTATGACGTCCATGTCTCAATTATGGATGCAAAAATGCCTTTGTACTGAGGCAGAATTCATGATCTATCAAACTTCTGTACAACTTGTATTGCTATGCGGGTCAGAAATCTGGATCCTTCTTACAGGCAGACTTGGAGCAGCTAGAGGCATTCCTTAAAGGAAACATTTTTAGTTTATTTTTACTCATCTTCTGAATACTAGATTTACTTGAAATCCTCCAGAAATTCAGCCTTCACTCACAGATTAGGTGTTGTAAATTTGGGGAGGGTACACTTATCTTCATACAGAAACAAAAACAAATCCATAGATTGAATTCCTGCTTAAAATAAAAGATCAAATTCAGTGTTAAGTAAAGAGGAACTGCTGTGTCTCTCTATAGCACATTTAAGCACTGTTCATCTGTCAATCTTAAAACACTGTACAAAGGAGGGTGAGGATCTTTATCCCCATTTTACAGTTAGGGAGACTGAAACCTCTTGGCCTCTCTGTAGTTAAGGTTGTCACTGCATTTCTAATAAGGGGCTTTCAGCACTTCAGTCTCAACAAAATTCTCAGGAAATGTCCATTCAGAGCGCAGCTTGCCACATGTCAGCTGGGAGACAGGGCATAGTTTTTTCCAAACCCTGGGTGAATTGGCCTATTCTATTCCAAGATACAGAAAGTTGAAAAATTAGATATTTGTCCCATTTGGCAACGTCTTGTCACTACTTGTTTTTTGTTCCTATGATGTCTGAGAAATGTGAGGCCTAGAAATAATGAGGGATCATCTACAAAGGGCACTAGAGGGGTGTAAATTCTAGTGCGCACTAGCATATCTCCCACTAACTGACCTGTGTCGACCCTGCTGGCACAGACAAAAAGTTCCCTAGTGCATGTTAAAAAGTCCCACTTCAAACAGGGAACTTTTAGTGTGCACCAGCAGGGTCCACACAGGCCAGTTAGTGCACGACACACTAGTGCACTCTAGAATTTGCACCCCTCATTACAGACTAATGGATCATGTAGCAAGCCCTGATTGGTGGGGAAATTACTCCGGGGGAATTAATACTATCAGAAGTATGCTTGGTCCATACATTGTGGACTGCTGAGGTCTGGCCGAGGTTTGATAAGAGTATGAATGACTCAGCAAGTTCCTCAGATCCATGATTGGCTTCCAGATTCTGGTGGAGCTTCCCAGCACAGTGTGGGGCATACTGGATATTAGGAGTAATAAATAAAGTTCTCAAACCCTCACAAGTCTGCAGAGGGATCCAGCATAGCTCATTAATCCTGTGGCACTCCTAAACCTCCCAGAGACAGAACCAGTCATATGAAAGAACTTTAAGAAATCCATAGATGAAATATGGTAGAAAACTGGTTGCAATTCTAGCAAGCAGGAGACCAAGTGCAGTGAGGCGAAGTGGCCTCCCACTGACCCAGAGGGGGAGGGACCACTCACAGAGCCCTGGTGGTGGGTGGAGTCAGGCCCTGCTCACCCCTCCCACTGGCAGTCAGGGGGCAGGACAGGAAGTATAAAAGGCAGGTCTGGGAGCTCAGTTGGGCTGCAGCTGCTGAAGGGGCCAGACACCTCCTGCCCGCTTCCGAGCTGGGAGACTGCTGCGGACCCTGTGGCGCTGAGGACTGGTCGACGTTGCCGGGACTGCCGCTGGCCTTCTACCCGATGATCCAGAGGAACTCTTATGGACCCAGGTTCACTCCTGGGGGAGATAGGAAGTAGCCCAGGAGAACTAGACAACTGTCTGGTTAAGAGCTGGCCTGCGACAAGGTCTGTGTGTTGCAGGCAGATCCCCGCTGACCCAGTGGCGGACCCGCTCTGCCACTGTTAGGGCGCTGGGCTGGGATGCAGTGGAGATGGGTGTTTTCACTGCCACCCCACCCTGGGGTGGCAGTACTCCCCCTCCTGTAAGCCAGAGGGCCTGCATCCGCCTACAGTCCGCCGAGTGAGGACACTAGGCGCTGCTCCTGCCCGAGCTCCCCTAGTCTGTGTTTGGGGTGCTCTAACTCCTTCCCAAGACCCCTAGCCTGTGGTTGGGTGCTCTACCCCATCCTGAGCCCGGAGGACTTGTTGCCCCACCCTGACTAAGGGTCTGGGCTCTGAACTATTTGTTTGCTACTCGGTCCTGAGTGTAGGCACAAGAACCAGACTCTGGAACTCCCCACCCTAAGGGCTCGGCTTACTAACTGTTTGTTTGCTGCTCGGCCCAGAGTACAGGTCCGAGCTACAGAACCCTCACTGCCCTGATTGCGGGCTAGAGACCCGAACTGCCTATCACTCTGCCCAAGCTGTCGACCAGAGCTACAGCCCGAGTGTGATTCAGCTAATTCCCCAACGCCTGCAATGTAATGAGGCTGAGTGGCCTTCCACTGACCCAGAGGGGGAGGGGTCACTGCTAACTCACTATACCAAGATATAGTGAATAACACAGCTGTCCTCTTGAGCCCACTAGCCAGGGCCAAGAGTTCATTTTTTACAAAAGCAAAGAGAAAAACAAACAGAAAAGTTAGAAAAATACAAGTGTTTATTCACAATGAGAGACGCTGGATTCAGGTTAAGCTGAACAAGGAAAACTTTATTTAACCCTGTGCACTGCTCCGTCCAGGTGGCTTCCAGCCTAAGTCCTCCACATTGCCTGTTTCTCTGATGTCCCCTTAATAACAGCCCCCGCAGGGAACAATGGCCCTCTGAGTCCAGTTCATGATACATCTTTTTTATTTAACAAACATTTTATATAAACATTACAAACCAACAATTGACTCCCACTCTGTGTCCCTTTGGCTGGAGGTTGCTAACCCATAACTGAGTTTGGGTATCGTCCAGACCCAGCTGGTTACACAATCTTTGATCTAGTTTGATCTCCTCAACAGGTGACCACTCCAGGAGTGATCTATTTCTGTTTCCTGGGTCCACTCACCAAGTCTAGCAAACTGTTTCTTTGTGGAGTCTCCTTGGCGGGTGGTTTTCTGACTCTCCATTCTGTGATGATCTCAGTATCTCTGCAGGCTTTCTAGGTGTTGTCTGCTGGCTCATAAGTGCCTCCTGTTCCTTCTGCCACTTGTCCCTCTTGCACAGACATCTCATATAACTTGGGTGCCATTGCATCCCTCACAAGGCCTTTAGTCCAGTTCTTCTAGTGTCTGTCTAATGGCTGATTTCTCACAGTAGATCCTTGGCTGACCTGTCATACTCTAATGCCTGCTTTCTCTTATTGTTGGCCATCTCTTCTCAGCCATATCTCCATCCGTCTGGCTTCAGCATGTCTCCCCTCATTGGTAGCAAGGTTTCGGTCCTTTGTCCCATCAGTGCCTGTGATGCACTGTTTGGCACCCCTGTGATGGGGTATTCCTGTGTGCCAAAAATGCTAATGAGGAATGCTAACCAGAAGAAACAACCTTGGGTAAAAGTCTTAGCTATTTGCACAGCTGATTCCACATTACCAGTTCTCTGTGGTTATGCTGGGGAGGAGGTGTGGTTGTCAAACTCCCATTTGCCTGCAAATTCCCTGAAATTTTCTGAGGCAAATTGGGGTCTGTTAGTGAATGCAGCATCCAGAATGCCGAAGTGCCAGTCACTGACTTGCTTCTTGTATCAGGCAGGGCACTGACATCCCAAAAGTTTAAGTAGTATCCCTTGTAATCAAGTACTGCTTTTCATTGAATATGTAAGTTCACTCTCACCTTTCCCATGGTGGGGCGGGCAGTTCATGTGGTAACAGTCTCTTTCGGCTGGTGGTTATGACACCCTTCTTTCAAGGAGAAGAGTTGTGTATTCATTCCTGGCTGGTAAACACACTCTTGAGTCCATCTCAGAGAGCTGTCAATGCCCGGGTGTGAGGCATGAATTTCTTGCACAGTATCCTATGTAATGAGGCAGCGACAACAGCTCTCTGGCCTCAAAATATGATTCCATCTTGCATACTCAGTTCATCGTTAATTTGAAAATATTAATCTGCTCCTACCATTACTTGGCTTTTTGCCTTCTGGGCACTCTGCTACTGTTGCTCTCTTGACTGCCTGTAATTGGAGGTCCCTTTCCATAGCCTCTTTCATTTCCATCATTTTCACTGTGGAAAGGGGACACTGTGCACTTCAGTGGTTTGCCTGGAGATGTGACAATGTTTTCAGCAGCAGGTGTCTTTAAGACAGAACTGAGGGCTATGAAGCAGACACGTAGCTAAACCACTTTTGTACACAGGGTTTCAGAGGTCTGCAGGCTCAGGGATTCTAAACATTGTGGATGGTAGAAGGTTTTAATGACTATACTTTTTCCATTAGCTAATGTGAGGGAATTCTATTGGGAGGGGGCTGTCCAGGTCTTTGTGTCTGAGATGTGAGAGGTGTGAAGTGGTACTACTGTCTTCATGCTGAGGGGACAGCAGTCTTATTGATTAAGCTGTAGTAGCTGGATGGTGCATACATCAGTATGTTGAGTATGATACAATGAAGGGCTGATAACAATATACACTGCACAAACGAAAGGTTGTCTCATGAATCCCGGTGGGGGCTATGCATGGGTACAACACTCGGATCAGGGCACTGACCAGTGATGCTTTGTGTTTTTCAGCACCCTAGGAGAGGCCTGGGCCCAGCTGAAGAAAAGTCTGGCGGATGAGGCAGAGGTTCATCTCAAATTTTCCTCTAAGGTAATCTGCAAGCTCCTCTGTTCACACAGAGCATTCTCCAGGAGTTTGGTAGTCGTCTAGCCTTTGGGGGATATTAATAAGGAAAATATGAACATACATAGGTAGTCCAAATGGCAAAATCTGAGAGCACTAAGGAAATCTGTGTGTTTGCCTTTGCTCTCTGCAAACACTGTTCTAACCCGTTAGACCCCACTCTGTTGCCAAAGCTGGGAACAGAACATAAGAGTCAGATGGGGGAATATTATTATTATCACCCTGTCCTACAGAGAGGGATGCTGACACCAAAAGGCAAAGGGGACCGATAGCCTCGGGGGTAGCAGCAGGATTCAAACTCACAGGCCAGTGCGTGGCCAGCTCATATGCAGGGTTATTGGGGGGGGGGGCAAGACACCACCTGCCTCTTGCACACCTGGTGAGAGGGCTAGAAAACACTGCAGGCCATTTGCTAAGTGGAGCACACAGCCACCTCTGTCCAAGTATGTTGACAGTATGCGATTTCCCAAAGCAAAGGGAAGGAGGCAGAGCCATAGTCCCACTCCCTCCCTCCCTCCCACTCACTGTCGTCCGAGGCCACCTGCAGTGCGGGATGCACTGACCGCCTGTGTGGTCCCCAGCTCAGTGGAGAACTCAGGGTGTGAGTGTGATGCCTGCGCTGCGCCTGGGAGAGGCAGCTTCCTGCCACCTTCGAGCTGGGGTGGGGACCGGGACAGTCTTGTGGTAAGGCACAGGAGGTTTGGGTTTAATTCCTGGTCCCGCCATTGGCTCCCTGGGTCACTTGGTGTAAGTCACTCACTCTTTCTGGGCCTCAGTTCCCATCAGAAAATGGGGATAACAGCACTGTCCCCCCAGGGCATGGGCTGGGGAAATTCATTAACTGTGTCGGAGGCACTGTGACGGTGGCTGTTACAAGTATCTCTGTAGGAGATTAAAGGTTTCAGGCTTTCTGATGAGAGAGGATAGCAAGAGCCTAAGAATCTTGTGACCTTTGAGAAATTCCTCCTACGTTCCCTTAACTGACGGGCTGGGGTGGAGGCAGCTTTGCTCCAGGCTTTCTTTGGGAAGGGAAAGATCCCTAGCCCGTTCTGCCATCATGTTGCTCAAATTGCATCTCTGGCTAAGTATGAGCACTGCATTCTCGTCCATTGTGAACAAGCCTTCCAGGAGAAACAGCTAACTGCATCCAGCCATGTTATGCTCCCGATCAGTGCTTGGCTGTTATCACTTCCCAATGCCCCTTTCTATTGTCATTCCCAGCTCCAGAGTGAGGTGGAGAAACCACTGCTCAACTTCAGAGAGAACTTTAAGAAAGACATGAAGAAATATGACCATCACATTGCAGATTTACGGAAGCAGCTGGCTAGTCGCTACACAGCAGTAGAAAAGGTAAGAGCAGAGAATGAAGCAGAGTGAGCTTTGGTGGGATAATCTCCTCTGGGACACAAGAAAAAACTCATGGAATGCTTCTCTTCAGCTTCTAACTACACAGGAGAGGACTCTGCCAGAGGCGGAGTATGATCTGCTGTGCTAAACTCCTAAAGTCTTGTTCTGTTCTGGTGATTCATAGGAAACCAGGGAAGCAGTGTCATGTCTGGAGATATTTGTGTTACATTGAATTATGTCTCTAACCCAACCCTTCTCACTCTCTAAGTTAATATATTGCTATGGCATTAGGTGAAAATATCCATCTTGATGCATGCTTTGCAGTCACATTAGTCAGACAGGGCCTGGCAGGGATGTCAATCTAACATGGGTTACCTAAGGTCACCAGTAAAGCCTCTGCCAGTTGTACACACACCTTCAGCAGACAGCTGAGGTCATGCCCCGTCCCCTGTTCTGCATTCCACCCCTTCTCCTGACTGACTCTCTGACTGGAGAAAGGGCAGGAAAAGCCAGGTGCCAGCACTGTTTGTGTCCTGTATGAAGCCAAAACACAATACTGCTGAATGATCCAGGTGTTGGTTGTTAAGTCCCCGCAGAGCATTCTCAGGAACCAAACTATATGCTGGAGTGCACATCACATGGCCTTCCCAGACGGCCAGGGACACAGCACATGGAAAACTGTCAGTCTGCACGGCTTACATGGAAAGCACTTTCCCCAGTTGTGCTAAGTTCTTTAGACTCGTATCTGAAGCAAACATTATCCAACCATTTATCCAGAGGGATAATTAAATCAATGGATTAGAAAACAAATGCAGAACCCCTGGGTGGCATCTGCTCAGCATGACACAGACAAAGCAGGTAGCCCTCTGCCAGGCTCCATTTCTATTAGCTTCAATGCCCTCTTATGGCCTGGCCAGCTAAGCCCAACACCAAATATTCCTCCCTCAAAATCTTTCAAAGCTGCAAAATTAACCCACCAATAATTGCCTGTGAAGTTGATGTAGAGAGCCATTATACCAGGGCTGGGATGTCTGTGTGTAACTCAACACATACACAAAAAGCAGCCTCCAAATTAGGTCAAAATCTCCAATATGTTACTGGAGGCAAGGGAGTGTTGGCCTGATTTTTAACTAAACAGGCAACAGCTTGTGCAAAACACGTCTACCTTGTGTGTTTAGGTAACCTCAACAACTGTGCGTACAGATAGGGTAAATGTATTCACAGGTGGCTAACATGATAATGTGTGCGTACAGTTTCCTCACCTGCATGTACAGCAGAAGTAATTACTGGTATACTCTCAAATTAGGTCTGTTAACATGATGGAACCATTTAAATCAAGGTGATTGATTTAAATCATTATTTAAAGCACTTGATTATTTTTAAAAAATTGTTAATTTAAATCAGATTAAGGCTTTGGAAAAACTAATTTAAAATTTTGTTACTGCAATTTCAGATTAAAATGTTTTAAAAAAGAAAAAGAAAACAGAAAAAAACGCTGAAATTCTATAACAATCAGAAAACTAAAGAAAAGTTCAAGACATCCACATTCACAATTGAAGCCTATAAAATAAGAACACAGTAGAGAACAAGCACCATGCAAATAAAAAAATCTGACCAACATATTAAAAATAAGGATTTGGATTTAAAAATCAGTTTTTAATCATGATTTTTAACCACCCTGGTCTTAAATGCTTAGACTCTGAAAATCCCTTTTCTAGAGTAGGTGAACTGAGCTCTTTTTTGCTTGCTGTCCAAGGTATACTTTTTCTTCCCTGGCTGTCTATCTTTATATTTTACCTCTACTACACAGAAACAGGCTGATATAAAGCACTCTGTAGATTAAACTAATTCTGAATTGCACTGTGAAAGCCTTTTTGTATATGAATTCATTTGGCACATTGAAGGAGCCCCGTTCTCCAACAATTTTTTTTATTCCCAATGGACAGTATTGCAAGGGCCGAGTGTCTGGCTTGCTCCGTTGGTGACTGGAGATGATTCATATTTTTGGACTATCTGCACTGCTTTCATCATTGTAGTGTCAATGCCTCACAATCATTCATGAATTTTATCCTCACAACACTGCTGTGGTGCAGGAAAATGCTATCCCTGCTTTTACAGAAGGGAACTGAAGCACAGAATAGATTGAGGAACTTGCCTAAGGTCACCCAGGAAGCCTGTGGCTGAGCCAGGAATTGAAAGCAGATTCCCTGCATCTCCGTGCAGTACCCTAGCCACTGGACCTCCCTTCCTGTAATTACTCTCACCCATTGCAAGAGGCGAGGGCATGGGCAAGAAGCTGTGGCACACACCCCAAGCCTTATACTTACATGTCACAGGAATGTAGGCATTGCCAGGCTGCATGAGACCTGAGGACCATCTAGTCCAGGATCCTGTCTCTGATAGTGGCCAGCAGCTGCCACTGCTTAGGAAAGTGCCAGAACCCTGCAGTAGCAGATGTGGGGCAATGACTCCCCATGAAAGTCTCCTCTTAGCCCCTCATACGCAGCACCTGGTAGCAGGAGGGTTTGTATTCCTTTCAACATTCTCCCTTTTTAGTATTTACTATGATAATTCTGGATATTTTTGTATTACAAAAAATGTCCAATCCCCCTTTGAATCTTGGTAAGTTCTGGGCCTTGGTGACATCCAGTGGCAGTGAGTTCCACAGGCTGATGACACATTTTGTGAAAAAGTATTTTCTTTTATCAGTTTTGAATTTCCACCTTTTAATTTCACCTGTTCTTGTGCCCCAAGACAGGAAGAACAGACCCATGGCTTCTTCCTCCCTCCTGGAGTTCCCCATCTCCCTTCAAGCCCCAGACCTGACCCAGATCACCAGTTTCTCTTCAGGGTTTCCCTTCATCACAGGGAAACCCCTTGCACCCTGGGCCACCTGATTTCAGTTTGCCAGTGTGTCTGCACTATGTGGGGAGGGCAGCAGTCCTTCCTCTGATGACACTAGTGCACATCTGTCAAATTGGGGGTGGCAGTGTCCCCCCCCTCAACCAGCCACCCCCAGAAGGTAACAGGAACAAAGTGGAGAAGACTTTGTGTCCCTAACATAAGACCCCTGGGTAAGGGCGCAGCAATTAGGACTGTCAAATGAATCTGGTGTTTAATATCGCTAACCCTTATAACATGAGGCCTCACTACTTCGGACTAAAGCTGAGCAATAATCAATTCTTCCGTTTGTTGGTCAAACCAAAAACCCAATCCCAGTACATTTCAGATCAACCCAAAATGAAAATTCTTTGGTTTTCTCAGTGAAACAAACATTTTGGGTCATATGAATGTATTGCTTAGATTTTAGGCATTTTAAACCACTTTTTCTATTAAAAGCAAATGAAATTTGAAATGCCATTCACAAAGCCTCTAAAGGAAGAGGTACCCCCCACTCCAGATCCTATAGCCCGGTGATTAGGGCTCTTGCTTTTAAACTGCAAGGCTTAAGGTCATAGTCCTGCTCTACATCAGCCACAGGGGACTTGAACTTGGGTTTCTAGTATTACAGCCAAGGGCCCCATCCACTGAGCTGTCCGATATTCTGAGGCTGTGGGGGTGGGCTCTCCTGCTGAAGCTGTAGCACTTTGTATAAATATTAAATATTTATTGAGCCAGAGAAAAAGCAGACGAGTGGCTCTGTAAGCCTGGTGATCTGGGGGCTATGTGGACTCCGGTCCCTGCTGCAATACATATTTGATTAGTTATGTAGAATGGAACAGCTTCAAGAGGAAATTGAGAGACCCACCACCCAAGGACTCAAGAGTCCAGTGCTTAGGGCACTCACCTGCAATATGTGAAACCCAATTGTTGTACTCACTAGTGTTAGGGGGCTTATTCCTTCACCCACTTACTTCCCTGGTCCTTCTCGCAAGAACAGAGAGCAACAATACCCAAAGTCCAAAGGTGCAAACAATTCGATGTTTATTGGGGTGAACTTCCAGCAAGCATGATTCTAGTTTCCTTCCTTAGTGTCCCCCTTCCCAGCTCTGACACCACAGAGCCTTACACCTGTGTCCTTGTTCCCATTCCTGCCCTTAGCCAAACATGATTCCAGTTTCCTTACCCCCATTCCCTGTTCCCATTTCCCCCTTTAGCCAAAAATGATTCCAATTTCCTTACCCCCATTCCCTGTTCCCATTTTCCCCATACACACCCACCCACTCACTTCCTGATTGACTGCAGACTATATAGTAAAACTTGAGTTCTGCTTAGCTGTACCTTAACCAATCATTTTCCTGAAATTTAACTAACCAATCCTAACATATTGTAACATGATTATGTAACCAATTATATCCCACCACTTAATTAGTTTACACCCAGCAAAATTAATTATACAGCAGACAGAAACAATCACAGAACCAAACAGAGATTATACAGACAAACAATAGCAAAGTGGGAACTATAATGACAAAATGATACAGAAGTGAGGATTTCACATCCCAGCTATTGATAAGTGAGTTCTTGCCAGACAGGATGCTAACAAACTAAGTTTCCTTTTACATCTTCTAGGCACTTCCCTTTCTCTGGAGGCGATAGGCATTATCAGGACAGAATTGTATTCCTAACAGCCCAATAGCACCTTCTTTCAATGTGACTAGTTTGGAATGTGAGGATGTGACCCTTCACTTCCCAGCTTATGGCTGCCTCTGTTGCTTAGCCAAAGGCCTTAGCTTAAGAACAGGGCCTCGGACTGTCACAGTAAGAGAAGGACCTTACACTGGCAGACAGTGATTTTGATTCTTTCTTTTATACCTCTAACTAGCCAAGTGATAAGAATACACCTAAATTCTTAGAGTAGAGGCCTTTACCGACAGGCCTGCATATCTATATCCTAACAACTAGTAGCTGCAGCTGATTTAAAACTACATTTTTGGCAAGTAAATGATTCATCCAGGAAATTTCACCCAGCGCTAATGGGTCATTAACTACAGGGTAACACCCGGGTTCTTGTAAGTTGTCATTTCTTCTCATGAAATTGCCTGGCCAGGTCCCCAGTGTGGCTTGTTAAGCAGACCACAGAGCCATCAAGAGCAGACCTAAGAAGGGCTCGGTGCCGCTTAGTGCATGATCACCTGTGCAGGTTGCATTGTCATTGCCATAGAGTGTTTTCAATCTAAGTCTGGAGGGACGATTCCCTCAGCTTTTCACTTGGCTTCTTGGTTTGCAAAAGAGAGTTGTCTGTACTCAAACCTAATTACTGCTGAGACAGGCTGGCTGAAGCTGATGAGACACTTTAAAGGACACTTTGGGTGACATAAAATGTCCCCAGCATGCACATCACTACAGGGTACCTACTTGCTGTACTGGGATGATTTCATTTGGGAAGAGATGGACTCTATAGACATAATGAGGCAGCTGGAAGTTCTTCTGTAAGGCATGTCTGGTGTGCTTTGTTTATTCAAGGCCCGGAAAGCCCTGACAGAGAGGCAGAAGGATCTGGAAATGAAAACCCAGCAGTTGGAGATAAAGCTCAGCAACAAGACAGAAGAGGAGATCAAGAAAGCGAGGCGGAAATCCACTCAGGCTGGTGAGTGGGTGAGGCTTGAGGTTCATATCTGGTAAACTGAATTAGGGAAGCCAGAGAGGAGTATGTTGCAGTAGATAGGGTGCAAAGGGGGCCAGAATGAGAGATGAGGCTGTCAGGATGGGAAGAAAAAGATGTTCCTGGTGAGGTGTTGAGGAAGCAGCAGCAGAATTTGCAGTATGGGGGAAGGAAAAGGGAGGAGGGAAAAGTAACCACCAGATTGTGGGTCTGAGTGGTGTGGAGGATGGGAATGTTGTCAACAATGATAGAGAAGGGGGGATCTGGTGAAGGTTTGGGAAGGAAGAGAAGGAGCTTGATTTTGGCTGTGTTAAGCTTAACGGATGACAAGACATCCAAGAGGCAATATCAGCGAGACAGGCCAAACTAGGAAATTGGATGGAAGGAGAAACGTCAGTGGTGGAAAGAGAGATTTGTGAGTCACAGACTAACACGGCTGTTCCTCTGAAAGCAGCATAGAACTGATACCTGAACCCAGTAAGCTGATGAGAGACAGGGAGTCAAGTGAGACAAGCAGGGAGCAAAGGGCACAGCGTTGGGATACCCCACTGACAGGGCGGAGGAGGACCCACAGGAAGGGAAATGGAAGAAACTATCAGGGAGGCAGGAGGGAAACCAGGAGAGGATGTTATTTTGAAAAGCTGGGAGGAAAAGATCTTGGCAAGGAGAGGATGGCTGACAGAGTGAAAAGCAGCAGAGGTGGGCAAAAATGGAGTAAAGACCCTTAGGTATGGCCAGAAAGAGGTCACTGGGGACCTCAGTGAGAGTGGTGTGGGTAGAAAGAAGAGGGCCCAACATGTCTTAGATTGGATTTACAAATCTATTGAAAGGCAATTTGGCCTATGATTTCTATCCCACTCCTTCCAATTAGTCAGTGATGGAGCTGGCAGCAAAACCCCTAGTTAAAGTTGGCCAATACTTTCTACTATAAGACCCTTATAACTTCAACAAACTTTAACTGTTCTGGGTAAAATTCCCCATGCGTGGTGTCTGCCTTATGCTGAAGTTTTTTGGAAAGTTCCAACAAAACTGGTCCAGCCATTTCCAAGAACAGGGTGTTGGGAAAATATATTGTTTTGCCAACGGTTGCCAAATGTGGTTTTTCCAACATTCCCTACTACCTTGTCACTGAGAAGCTCTAATGCCTGTGTGCTTTGCTCCCAACCTTACTGATGACCCATCTGCAGGTTGATGTACGTGAGGCTTGTGGGTTGCTGGCAGGCTGAGGTCAGAGCTCTGGACCTAAGTTGCACAGGCACAAGACACCCAGGGTCACAAGGCTGATAGTGACCAAACAACCTCCTCCAAGCAGATTTTGAATGGGACCCAATCATGCGTACCAGATCAAGCCCCACCGGTACCTTCCGGCAGGTATCTTCACCCAGTTCATGGATTGCAGTAGAACTTAGGCAGGAGACAGGCAGAAGTGGACATACCCCAGTGCAGAAATGTAGGCAGCTAGGGAACTGTTACAGCGAAAAGTTAGATGCCAAGTGAATTTAACACCTGCAGCATTCAGTGGCAGCCAAGCAGGGGTTTAGTGGACTCAGTGGTGCCTAACACTATGACTTAGGCACCTAAATCTGAGTCTTAGGCACCTAAGTACCTTTGAGTATGTGGGCCTTATTCTTCATAGCTTTCACAATTACTGGCCTTTACAAAACTATGAATATGTTGGTTGATTCTGTCCACTAGGTGGCAGGAGAGAGCCTTGGGATTGTCCACTTGAGACAACACATGATCTGAGAACATCATCAAAACAATGTTTTTTTTATATAATAGTTTATTTTTGCCTGTCTGTAAATCAAGCAGCTCCTCTGGCTCCTGGTGGAGTTGATAAGGAGCACAGAGGCAGCAGCAGAAGCTGTCCACAGACAGCCTTGCAAGGGATGTGGCTGCATCTTCTAAAACTTCCATAAATCGCTGACTTTTGTGCTCAAAATAGCTGGCAGTGATGCAGGTACTACATGCTACACTCTCTGCAGATTGGCCATATGTTCTGAGTGAAACACTGGGGGACTGCTATGGTGTGTAACTGGGAACTGTTTAGCTAGGGAGGTCTGTGACAATCGGGCCCCCCCTCACACCCTTTCAACTTGTCAGAGTGACAAACAGGGGAACTGTACAGAAAAGGACAGGGTGGAGGCAAGCTGTATTCATCCCTCTGTGACCTCTCGTTGCTCTATACTCATCCCAGTCTAGTCCTACCCACTCCCCTAAAATCTAGACCTTCCCTGTTCCCTGCCCACATCCCCCGCCTGCCAGTCCACCCTCCCCCTCATTTACAAGTGCAGATATGCCAACTCTCCCGAATTAAGTCTGAGGGACACGATTTCTAAGTAAAATTAAGCCCGACTCCTGTTCTCATGAGAGAACTCGAGGATTTTTTTTTCAGCTGCTGTCAGTTCGCCCTGGGTGGCCGAGGGCTCCCGCTGGCAGTCAGCCTGGGGGACGACAGTGGGAGCCACAGCCACCCAGGGCTGGCCTCTTCGCAGGGCCGGCTGACTGTAGCAGCCCCGCCATGCTGCAAGGAGAGCCTCCAACTGTCAGCCAGCCCTGGTCGGCTGGTGCTCCTGATGTCAGCCCCAGTCCCGTGGGGGCCAGGGCTGCCACTCTCAGCCTGGGAAGTGGGAGAGGGGATCCCACTGCAGCCCTCCTAGGCTTGGGGTGGGTGAAGAACCCTAAGGGAAGCAGAGGTGAGTCTGGAAGGGCTAAACTATGACCTGGGGGCTGAAGGGTGTGTGTGAAGTGACGAGGGTGGTGGCTGATGGGGTGGGGCCAGGGATGAGGGGTTTGGGGTGCAAGAGCGGGCTCCGGGTGGGGGCAGGGATGAAGGGTTTGGGGTTCAGGAGGGGGCTCAGGGCTGGGACAGGGAGTTGTGGGGGGGGGTGCAGGCTGTGGGAGGGAATTTTGGTGCAGAAGGGGACTCCAGGCTGCGGCAGGGAGTTGGGGTGCGGGAGGAGGTTCGGGTTGCGGGGCCCCTGCGGCGCCACCCCTACAGCTCCTATTGGTCGTGGTTCCCAGCCAATGGGAGCTGCAGAGCTGGCACTTGGGGCAGGGGCAGCATGCGGAGTCTCCCTGGTTGCCCTTATGCCTAGGGGCCGCCAGGATCTGGCAGCCACTTCTAGTAGCCACGCAGAGCCAGGGCAGGCAGGGAGCCTGCCTTAGCCCCTGGCCCCCGTTACCGACTGGACTTTTAGGGGATGCCTGGCACACCTATCTCCCCCATGCTGAGAACCCCCCACCCAACCACACCTCAGCTCTGAACCCCCCACCCAAACTCTGAATGCAGCCACACACTCACACGCTGTTGCCTGCTTACACACATGCACCCACCAGGCTCGGGGCTCTTCCCCTGTTCCCTGGCACCCACCACCAGACTCCGAAGCCCCCTGCTCCTGCTGGATCTGGCAGAGCGGGAGAACAGGCCGCAAGGGACGTGTGCACATGATCTGGAGTTGCCCCACAGAAGCCTGAGGTCCCTACTCTGTGCTGTCTCTTCCTGGGATCTATGCTGCAGGGCCAGGAGCCCCGCTGGCAGCCAGCTGTGCTGCAGTGTGGCAGCCACTCCACAAGGCATGCAGTGCAGCTGGCAGGGAGGGGCTAGTGAGCAGGGGCGGCTCTACCAATTTTGCCGCCCCAAGCAGTCGCCACTGAATTGCCGCCGTGCCTGGAAGAGCGGCGGAGCTGCTGCCGAATTGCCGCCGCGGGACACGGACCGCCGCCCCATACTCAATGCCGCCCCAGGCACCTGCTTAGAAAGCTGGTGCCTGGAGCTGGCCCTGCTAGTGAGGGGGCTTCATCACAGTGACCCCCCACCCCTAATGAATAGCTTAATCCTGGAAGCAGATTTACTCTTTCAAAGAAATCCCTGGGCCTCAGCCCGTCTAACCTAACCCAGGGTTTTCCTGGTGCTCAGCCCCAAGGTGTCTGAGAGCCAAATCCCGAGAGGTGCTAAGTGCCTCCAGCACAGGCGGGGCTCCGCTGCCTTCGCAGAAACTGCAGTTAGTGCAAGTAAAATCCATCGTCTGGAGGTAGCTAGCTAATGGGCCCTGGAATGCTGCTCCGTTGCCAAGGCTCTAGACATTGTCTGAGACAGAGCACAAGGAAAATGGAGCCTGGAATACATAGAATGCAGCTTATTCATTGCTGTGTATAATAATAACTCAGTGCTCGCCCCAGGCTCTGTGTCCTTTGATGTGTCACAGCAAGAAATGAGATGGAAACTCATATAATAACTTGTTTACGAGCTGCCCATCTTACCCTGAAAATTACAGCTACAGCTGCCTGCCAACAAGCAAAATAGCATTGCCTTTCATCAGTCTTCTCTCCAAATGCGAGGGGAAAATACAGCTCTTACAGTACATGCAGAAGGCCAAAAATCCAGGCTCTTGTGGAGCAGGGGGAAGGGAATTCCAGAGGCTAGCGTATTCATAAAGAACATGCTGCCCCTGCCCTGGGAGCTCCACTGCTTACAGCCAGCAGTTTGGCACAGGGAGAGGTGGTCTTCCAGGCTCCAAACCTGAGAGTGCTTTGAAGGTCCAAATGGACACTTTGATCTGCACTTGGAACCTGCTAGGCAGACAGTGCAGCTTCCAAAGCACATTGGTAAAGGCACTCCCTAACAAGCAGGCCGCTGTATTTCTGCACAAGCTTCATCTTCCAGGCAGTCACACATGTGATGGTCCCCATGCAGAGTGTATTAGAGTAGTCTAGTCTTGCAATCTTAAAGGGGCAGGATGGTCTGGTGGTTAGGACACTAGCTGTGGGCTGGGGAGACCAGGTTCAGTTCCCTGCTGTGTCACACACTCCCTGTGTGACTTTGGGCTAGTCACCTAGCCTCTCGGGCTGCAGTTCCTGCTCTCTGAAATGGTGGGAATTGCAGTGCCCTCTCTCAGGAGAGTTGTGCAGCTACCTTCATCACAGACTGTGAGGTGCTTAGGTGCCATGCTGATAAGTGACAAAGAGGTGGATAAGTGTTGCAA